TCCTCCCATGGAAGGAATTATATAGAAGATACTGTAGATTATAATGAAGAGAAACCAGAGTATAAGGGGATAAAATAGAAAATCTTGTTTACACATTATTCACAACATTTCTTTATACCAGTGATGAAATTCATTTTTTTTTTAACTACTGGTTCTGTGGACATGGCTTGGTGAGCGTGGCAGGGGAAGGATACTGCAAAATCCCCATTCCCACCCCACTCCTTGGGGAAGGATATTACAAAATTCCATTCCCACCCCACTCTGTGGCCAGCCAGAGGTGTTATTTGCCAGTTCTCTGAACTACTCAAAATTTCTGCTACCGGTTCTCCAGGACCTGTCAGAACCTGCTGAATTTCACCCCTGCTTTATACCTTTCTAATCTTGCAAACCATCTTTGTTTTTTCCATCTGGGGAAACTGGATTCTCTTCATTATAATCTACAGTATCTTCTATATAATTCCTTCCATGGGAGGAGTTCATTCTAGGCATGATGAGGGAGATAAAAATGCAAAGGAAAGGTATACAGAAAACTAGCATTCTTAATTTCCATCTCGTATTTTCCTTATGTAATATTTAGTACCACTCAAGTATGCTATGTCTTACAATAACATCCTTGAATCTCACATTCTTATGGCAGCTCAGTAGTGACACAGTAGCGATCATTTAACACCTCTAATTGGGACTGGAAACTCCATTGTTGATACAATTATAAGCATGTGACTGCACCACATAGCAACATCAGTGCCAATTGCTATCATTAAGCGGGGATCACATAGGTTATTAAGTGAGGGGCCTCACACTTACTGCCAGCTTTCCATTGACTTTACTTATCAGAAGCTGGAAGTGAAGGTCACAAATGGTGATCAGATGATCATGGAACGCCGCTAGAGCCATAGGTGTGAGGATTATTCATAGTTACTATTCATTCAGCACCATTGCAACCTCAAATTGTCACTAAACAAATGGTCATTCAACTAGGACCAGCTATATCCACAGGTTTTTCAAGTTTTGATACAAAAAAACCATCTAGTCTATTCATTTGGATAATAACAAGAAACTCCCCTTTTTTTATTTGCCTTCTCCTCTGTTTTGAATGTTAGACTGAAGAAGGAAAATTATAGATTTGTTATACTATGAAGAATGACATTTAAAAATGGGAAAGAATGTTTTTGCCTTCACTCAAAAATGTTTGTGCAACAGAAAACTTGTCAAAGATTTTTTCCCCCAACAAAAGTAGATTTTAATGCTGAAGTAAAGCAATCAAATATGAGTGAAGACGAACTATAAGATAAACACAAAAATATATTTGTGCGGTACACTTAAAAAAAATATCATTAGNAAGATCAAAGACCTTTGTTTAAATTGGCAGGACTCCTTTGAGTAGCAGGAGTGATTCGGTGCTGTGGATGTCTCTCAGTTGGCCAATTGTCAGAATCTGCTAGGAATGGCCGAGGTCGCGCAATGGTTAGAGTGCAATACTACAGGCTCTATCTCACCGGCTCAAGGTTGACTCAGCCTTCCATCCTTCCAAAGTGGGTAAAATGAGGACCCAGATCATTGGGGGCAATATGCTGACTCTGTAAACCGCTTAGAGAGGGCTGTAAAACCACTGTGAAGCGATATATAAGTCTCAGTGCTAATGACAGATTATATGTTTCCCTTTCCCTGTTTTTAAAAGTTGTAAATAATTTGGTTCCATAATTAATAAACTGTGTGGAAAAGATACATGACATTATTCCTAATTTTTTTTATACAGTTTTCCTTGGTGATATTTGCAAGTCCTTTTTTCCACTGAGGAGATGTAGTTTTAGTGAATGCTTTTCTCTTTTGCGTGTCCATTTTCATTTGAAAAGTCTGTGAGAAAAATTTCCTTGTGTCCACCACTCCTGATGTACCGTGGCATCTTTTGTTACATTCAAATAATGTCTTATCTTCCATAAAGGCCCTCATTTTCTGTAGCCCTTTTTTTTTAACCTCAAACTCTTTTGTGTTGATAAAATAGAAAAGTTTCAATATTGGGAGTTGCTTCAGTACATTTTAGACTTTGTGGAGACCTGGTTTCTCAAACTGACCAGTGAAAGAAATGAAGAATAACCTAAAGAAAATGCCTAGAAGTACTTCTAATATGGGCTGTGGCAAGTTTTTAAATTCTTGTATTTTATGTCTGCTAAAATCCTAAAACTACCTCTTATTTTATGTATACGTATATACGGAACAAAAGGTAATATTGCACATAAAAGTCAACTTTGGTTTCTTTCTCTCCTCTTTCTCCTCTGTAGTCAGCAGCAGAATATGTGAAGTCCCGCTTACCAGAAGTCCTAAAGCAGCACCTTCAGGATTATGAGAAAGATAAGGAGAACAGTGTATTATCCTATCAAACCATCCTGGAACAACAAATTCTCTCAATCGACCGAGAAATGCTGGAAAAATTGACTGTATCCTATGATGAGGCAGGTATGTTGGTTGATCACTTAAGTGTGGCCGCAGTTTTTTGTGGCTCAATTCCACATAGCAGATATTTTTACCTAGGTATTCTTTGAAACCAGCTATTTAATGATGCATCACGACACGTTCCTTTCTGTATTACTCTCATATAACAGAAGCATTATTACATTAATGTCTCTATATTTTATTTTACTTTGACATTCTCCAGGCCAAGCTTTGGTTGGTATAGTCAGCCAAGCAGATAAAATGCTAAACTAAAAGTATACTTCCTTTTAAAAAGGTGATTGACTCTTCACATTATTAGCATAATCATTGTTTTCATGCTGTAGAAAAATAGCGATTTCAGTAGAATTTTCAATCTTTTTTTGCTTGTTTAATTTAACCAAATCTTGTTCATTTCTTATAATGACAATTCCTTCAGTCAACACTAAAAAGGAAATGCTAATTTAGTGCAATATGTGCTGCATATTCAGAATTCACATTAGTTTACTCTGAAGAGATTTTGCCTCATTAGTCACAACAATATTCTCTGTGGATGATAGTGAGATTATTTGCACACTTGAATTTTTGGATTTGTTTAAATTAAAAGAAAATGAGAATATTGCATGCCGCAAAGTACCATCCACAAAATAGTCTATTTTCCTGGTAATGCCATACTGAAATATTTTGTGCCTCACCCAGAAAAAAAGAGAAGCATAATGTAAGATGGCAGGTAACATTCTGAGAAGTTTGAGGGGATGGCAGGAAGCAGCCACCTTGTTTTGCTTCTCAATATTTGTATTTGAGGTAATTGTTCACACAATTTGTGACAGACATTTTGGGTGAATACTCATAACATGTTTCAAAATTTCAAGTATACTGACATAATTACATGCTCGCCATCCCATTTTTTTCCAGTCCTAAAAAAGATTGCAAATTGTATAGGGAACACAAAGGGGCTAAAAAAGGTGAAAGATTTATACGATCTGAAGCAGCGATTCTCAACCTGTGGGTCGCAACCCCTTTTGGGGTCGAACAACCTTTTCACAGGGGTCGCCGAGGAGCCTCGGAGAGGCTGGCGAGAAGCCAGCCCGCAGGGAAGGAGCAGCTCGGGTTCCCCGCGCGGCAGAAGGAGAGGTGTGTGGGGGGGAGTAGGAGCTGGAATGGAGGTGAGGAGGGGGAAAAGAGACTCGCGCAGCACAGAGGATGCTGGGAAAGCAGCTCGCTTCGGGTGATGGAGGTTGATGGGCAGAGCTACAGAAGCCAAGAGGTACCATATCTGAGGCATAAAACAAGGCAGGGAAAATAAAATAAAGGAACGTGGGATGCTTAGCATGGGTAACAGTCTTAATAGGCTTTGGCCCCTCTCCTGCGGCTCCCTGCTGACCCCATCATGGACTCTGCTCTCCGCCCTGAGAAGGCACGAGCCTCTCACCGCGTCCTTCGCAGGCAACTCAATGTCGGGAAGAGCTCCAGCCCTTTTCTCGCGCTCATCTCTTATGTGTGTGCGTGCAAGCAAAATACCCTCCTGGGCCAGGATCAAGGCGGAGGGGACAATGACTCTCCTCCCGCTGTCGCACTGCGCAATGAGGTGAGTAATTGAGTACGCAATGCAGGAGAGTCCTCAGCGCTAGACTCAGGTCAGCACGAGCCGCGGTCCCCTTTGTGTTGGCTCAGGAAGGAGGAGAATGGGGAGCAGCAGCAGCAGCTGGTTGGGTGTAGGGTGGGAAGAGTTCCAATTCTCTTGCGCTGCACAGGGCTCTCCTTGCGCAGGGTTCTGGAACTCTTCCGTCTCTGCATCCAGCAACGGCTGCTCCGGCTCTTTCCTGAGTCAACACGAAGGGGACTGACCTGAGTCTGGCGCTGAGGAGTCTCCTGCGCAGCACAGCCAGCTACTCACTTCTCAGTGGCGGCAGCGGAAGGAGTCGCTGTTCCCGCCGCCGTGATCCCAGCCTAAGAGGGTATTTTGCTTGCATGCGCAAGAAAGAGATGAAAGAGAAAAGGGGAGAGAGAGAAAAATGAAAGAGATCTGGAAGGAGAGAATGAGATAGAGGAGAAATAGAGGGAAACAAATTAGAGGGAGATGGGGGAGAGGGAGAAAGAAATGAAAGAGAGCTAAATGGAGAGACTACTCCTGGAAACACCAAACCTGAAGTAGTCTGCAGTAGTCTGAAGATGATGAATGTGACTTCGTCGAAACGTCGCCAAGACATCTCCAATTCTACGCGGGAGAAAACCCGAACAACTAGAGACCTACATACTAACACCCGCGAAAACCTCAGAAAACATATATATATATATAGATAGATAGATAGATAGATAGATAGATAGATAGATAGATAGATAGATAGATAGATAGATATGTATGTATAGATCTATCTGGCTGGATGG